GGTTGAATTGTAATATATAATTCCTCTTAAAGTTATCCATGCAAAAAAGCATTGTTCACATCTATTTGGTGAAGATGCCAGTTATTAATGGAAGTAAGAGCTATAAATGTTCTAACTGTTGTTAACTTGGCAACTGGAGAGTATGTTTCAAAGTAATCGAGTCCTTTAATTTTGTTATAACCTTTGGCTACTACCCTATATTTGAATATACCAATTGTGCCACTAACATGGTGTTTGATCTTTTACACCCATCTGCATCCAATATGCTTAGCATTTGGAGGCAAATCAACTATGATCCAAGTACATGTCTTTTCAAGCAGAGTGAGTTCAATTTACATAGCTCAATTTGCAAGCCTCAACATGATATTTAGACTCAATATGTGATGACAAATACAAGGAATAATGAAAATACGATATAGACAACTTATCATAAGACATGGAAAGAGAAATAGGATATAATACACCTTTAGATGATATATTGGGATTCTGAGATGTGGAGCATACATAATGTTGCAAGTAGGATGGCTTGTGTGTAACCCTTGAAGATGTACGAGTAGGTGTATTAGGTTGATGAATGTTATGTGGTTGTTGATGAATTTCATGACTTTCAAGGTTAGGAGGATGTGTTGAAGGTGGTTGGGTAGGATTGGTGCAAGGTTAGAGTTAACTAGTTGCAACAGTAAAGTAAACAACAGTCACGGGAAAAATTCACTAACAGGGTTAGTACACATATCGTGTGCGAGGGTATTATATACTTATAAAATACAAGGTTGGGTAGACCCACTTGCTCTGATACTAACTATGTAACACCATAAACCCCAACAATAATTTATAAAACATTGCTGAAAATATTAAGATGAAATAAGGGTGTCACATTGACAAAAAAATTCAAATTTTATTCCAAAACAGGAATTTAAATTCAAAACATAGCATAGTAATTCAGTTAAAACCAGTGTTTTAAAAACCGGACCGGATCGGCCGGTCGGACCGGGAATCGGCCTAGTAACCGGTTTGATTTACTAGTTCGATCGTCTGTGTCATCAAACCGGTAAAAACCGGGAAAAACCGGGTTGGACCGGGAAAAACCGGGTTTAGGATTGGACCGGTTCTAATGCATTTTTTATTTTTTAATTAAAATTTAAATGCAAAAATTAAAAAAATTATTAAAAAAATGTTTAAAATTAGATTATGTTACAATTATTTTGTAATTTTGTATTATTTTGTTATGTGTGATATATTTGTTTAAAATTTGAATTCAAATTATGAACTTGTGAATTTATGATATGATATTTTCAAAAAATTTAAGTATTAGTTATATTTTTTTAGAAACTGAATCATCCGGTTCGACCGGTTTTATATCTATATAATGACAGGTCTATTCAACCGAGTTATCCGGTTTAATCCGGTTTAGTCATGCGGTTCGACCAGTGACCCAGTGATTCGACCGATAAACCAGTGACCCAATACTCTCACCGGTTCGATGACCGGTGCGGTTTTTAAAACACTGGTTAAAACAAATCATAAGACATAACAAGGTTTTCCCAACTCGATGTTACAATATCAGAGTAAAATTCAGAATATACTAATAGCCAACAAATGTATAAAAAAAACACAAAATAGAAGAAAAACAACTAAAGAGGCCAACTACGCCATCCTCCATAAAACAACAGTTATCACTCCTCAGTCTCCACCTGAGAATTATCTCTGCATAAAGGTACATAGGTAAAAACATTGAAACAAGAAGGGGGTGAGAATACATTCCATAAATCAAATGGTGTATAAAGAGCGAGGATAGTCTACAATATCAATTATAGTCAATACAATTATACAATCGACACAATTAAATATGTGATGCTCATCTCCGCTACTCTCATACATGTGGTACTAATCGTTGGATACCAGAGATATGTTACTGAGTGATCCTAAACATGACCGAAGTCCTAAATAGTTGATTGAATTCCTAAATAATGGGCCAAAGCACTAAGCTAACTTCGATATACATGATGTATAATGCTACAAAAAAGTGCAATTCTCCATCCAAACCTCTTATGCCAACATTAACAATTCCGGTTAATACTAACACTAGTCCTTGTGGACTTAAACATATCAATATTGCCGATTAAGGCTAAAATATTGGTTCGCCTTGAACCTAAACCATCATTATTCAACATCACCTACTCATGAGGTAGCTATAAACTAAAGCAAGAGTGAAGACTCATTTTAGTTCCTCACTAAAACTACAAAATCTAAATTAATCCCTAAAAAAAAGACTCTATTTAATGCCCTACGAAATTAAATCAGATCATATTAGTCCCTGTTAATATTTTTTTTTAAATTGGTTTTCTTCCAAATTTTGAATCGTAGACTGCTATGTCTATTCTTTACTGCCATTAGTGTCATGTGCATTATTTATTCCAAATAATATTTAATTTCTTTTTCAATTATTTTAATCTTAACAATTATAAAAATTACTATAAAAAGTGCAAAATTTTAGCATAACAAACAGTTGAACAAATGATCCTTTAGTCGCTGAAGGTGCCAATAGAGCTAATATGTTTTTGCCCGACAATTGTGCAAATTAAATACTTATTAGCACATTGTTTTACTATTTTCGAGTTACTAACAATATTTAAAAAAAATTCATAATAAATCTTTAAATAAAATTTACACCACTAAAATCACTATTCAAACACATCTAAATCATAAATCACAAATAATTCACATTTTTTAGTTCAAATTAACCCAAATTTTTTAATCACAAATATATTTAAAGCAAAATATTTATTAAAAGAATGAAATAATTAATTTATTTTAATAATATGTAAACACGTTTAAATATTTATTGTTTCTTGTATATCATTAAAAAAATACACTATTTATTCTTTCCTACACTATATTATTATGTTTTACAAATCATTATAAAATGTACCATTTTATTATTTCTTACATATTATTTAAAGATGTTTGGATGGTGTTTTAGACAAGTCAAATATCCAATAAGATAGGCACCCTCTGAATCCATAATAATAAAATCTGTAATTAGATAGGGGTTTAACCTCTCACTAAAGTAAACAAAACCTCTCACAAAACATATATTCGCAAGGGGATATGACCCATAACTAATTAGGGCATCGTAAGTTTATAGTTAGGGAACAAATCCCTTGCAAATTTATAGTTATGGGACAAGCCCCTCACAAATTTGACTAGAGGGTAAGTCCCTCGCAAATTGTCATATTAAATATCCAGTCTGCTCCGTTGCAGACATAAACACACACTAGTGTCACAGAATATCAGTATATCACAAACATGTCAATTGATTTTCTAGGGGATAAGCCTCTAGCTAAAGTACTTGCATTTTGTATTTTGTGAGAGATAAAGCCCCTAGCTATATGTAACATACTTTTGCGAGTGGTAAAGCCCCTAGCAAATTGACTTACGTTTTGAATTTTTTTGAGAGGTTTAACCCCTAGCTAATGTATATATTATTATTAAAAATTTATAATTATATTATTTTAATTATATTATTATAATTAGAATAATATAATTATATAATAAATTATTATTAAAATTTATAATTATATTATTTTAATTATTCTATACAATATATAAAGGGAATACTTTGTTTTGGGGTGACTTATTTTTCTACCATTTTTACCCTTACTTTATTATATAATTTACTTAATAACTTCTTATTATTAACTTCCACATAACTTCTTATTATTAACTTCCACGTATTGTATTTTTGAAAAACTTTATTTTAACAAAAAAATGTCGTTTATTTTTTTTATGTGCATTAAAAAAACGGACAGACGGGCACGCGAGTGCCCGTTTGGACGCTAGTTACTATAATTAGAATAATATAATTATATAATAAATAAATAAATATTTTTAATTTTTTTTAAATATTATAGTTTATAATTAAAGGTGCAATGAAATTAAATATCCATATCCATCATCAAAATAAAAATAATTCATGACAAAGATAAAATAAAATATAAAAATACATATTAAAAGTTTCATATTTTAAAAATATTTAATCAGCTTCTTCATCATCCTTCTCATCTTCATCATTCTCATCTCTTTCTCTAAAACCTTGATTCATATGCGAGACCATAAATTGTTCAAATTTTCGCTCATTTGCAATTCGCATTGCTTCCTCGTACTCCGCTATTTTCCTCCTCAATTCCTCCTTCATCTCTGCTTGTCTTCTCCTTATTTCCCCCATCTCTACTTGTCTTGCTGCTGCTTCGCGTGTTGTCTTGGTCTGCGTCAAGTTTCTCACAGTTTCAAGCATATCAGCGGTTAATATAGGTGGACATGATGATCCTTCTCTATCATCAAGTCTCATTTTAAAAGTCTTATCACGCCGCTTGATTGTTTTGGCATACCCTCCAGCACCATACACTCTCCCATTTTTCTTCTTCCCGCGAGCAGCATCATACTAAGCCCAAAAACCTAGACAAGGATTAACAAGATATCCCTGTGGTGGTGAAGGTAACTCGGGATGCTCAGATAAAGAAAGTACAAGTTTTTTATCATACTCCTCCTATAAAAAATAAATAAGTTAGATGTTATCATAATTTAAATAAGATAGGTACATAAACAAAAGAAATAAAATGACTATTTAGAAAAACTTACTTGAGTTTCTCAGAATGCACATCTTCCTTCGCTCCTCATGAGCACTGTCAGAAGCAATAATATCTCCATGATCATAAGAACTGGTATCTCCACGACCATGAGCACTAGTATCATCTTTATCATCCTGCTCATCATGCGTAGAATGCACGGGTGATGAATGTGGCATGCTAGATCCACCATTTCGGGGTGGCATTTTTTAAATAAAATATTTCTTAAAAACATAAAAGTAAATTAATTCAAGCAATTACACGATAATATTATTACAATACATATTACAAAATAATAGTATTATTACACAATAGTATTATTACACAATAATATTATTACACAACAGTATAATTACACAATACATATTATTTAAATTATTCATCATCGTAATCATCATTGTCTTCATTAGATATGATATTATTGTCTTCAGAGTCTCCTGAATCTTCTTGCTCTTCTTCCACATGATTTGCTGACAATAAAATAGTTACGTCAACTTGTTGACCCACAACTACAGTATCACCCAAACTTGTAATCTTCTCAATTTCAATTACCCCATTAATTGGTGAAATCTCATCATCTTGGTATGCAACATCATCTTCCATTACACCGTCAGATTCAATATAACCCATTGGACTAGACTTGATTATAACATACCATCCTCGTTTACTTGGTTGAATTGAAGGATAAGGAATGTAATAAACTTTCCTAACATTATGTGCCATTTTGAGAGGGTCATACTTTTTGTACTTTCTATCCATTCGAACCTTAACAATGTTATTTTTTTTAATCTATTTTAGCTCCTCTGAAAGATAGATCGTACCAGTCACAATAAAACATGACAACTTTATTTTTCGAGTCCATATAATTATATACCAACTCATAAATATGTGTCATAACACCATAGAAGTCGTCCTCACCACCCTCCATAACTCCTTTCACAACTACACCACTGTTTATTATTTTCTTCTCTTCTGTCCATATTTGAGTGTGAAATTTATATTAGTTTACAAAGTATGAGTGCCATTCGTTTGCACGTTGATGAAGGCCTTCAAGTAAACTTCTTAAATGAATTATTTCAGGACGTGGTGCAACAATGCAATGCGGTTGTTGCTTAAACCATGCAGGAAAATAGGCATGTGTGTAACCAGTCGATGGTTGTTCACCCGTGCTTTGAAAATAATAGGTATTAAATGTCCTATTTCAAAGGAAAAAATCTATGTTAAAGAAGATGACAAGTATATTTATTATAAAAAATACATACTTAATTTAATATACTTACTCAAGATATGATTTAACTTCAACGCATTTAACCAACACATGAACATGAGCATATTACATTTCTTTTTCAAACAACCAATGCACACTCGTCTTTCTAGAAGGACGGTCGGGACGACCAAAAACCAATACGGTGAATTGACTTCTTTCACTAAAGTGAACTTCATTCCTTATGATTCTCGAAGTCAACATTATATGATTGAAATAATGAGAGCAAAAATGTGAAGTTTCTCGATGCAAATAGTGCGCACATATTGATTCTTCAACTTTTGCCTTATTTTCACTGATCGCTTTGAATCACCCGTGAATAGTTCAAATAGATATATCCATCTATATTGAACAGGTCCACCAAGGAAAGTTTCGTAAGCAAGATGCACGGGGAGATGCTCCATAGAATCAAAGAAACCTGGAGGAAATATTTGCTCTAACTTGCAGAGAATGAAGGGAATATTTTGGTCCAATTTAAAGATGTCATCCACTCGTAAAGTTGACGCACAAATGTCTTTAAAAAATTGACTAATATCAGTTGGTGGATTAAGGACATGCTTAGGAAGTGAACTGAATGAAATTAGAAGCAATCACTCCATGAAAACATGAAAACATGACAATCATGACTTTTCATTCTATGCAACTTTCCAGTTTTTGTATCAGCACATCTAGCTAAGTTAGAAGAATAACCATCGGGCATCCTCAACTCATTTAACCATTGACAAATTGCTTTTGCTTCTTGGGGAGTTAGAGTGTAACAAGCCTTGGGTTTTAATAATTTTCCATTTGGTTAAGGTTTCAACTCCAACTCTTTTCGATTACATAAAAGTTCCAAGTCCTTTCTAGCCTTCTCATTATCTTTTGTCTTGCCTTGGACATCCATCACTGTGTTAAATATATTAGCAAAAAAGTTCTTCTCAATATGCATAACATCAAGATTATGTTGCAACAAATTATCCTTCCAATATGAGAGGTCCCCAAAAAATACTTCTTTTTGTCCAATTGAAAGTGTCCCGATATCCTTGAATTATGCATGCTTTACCATTATCTGTGAATTTTGGCAGGTCACAAGCACTATTCCATACTTCAGCCGATGACAAACGAGGGGGAGGAAGATCTGTTGCTTTTATTCCTTATCTAAAAGCATTCTTATTTTTTCTAAAAACATGGTTCATAGGTAAGAATCTACGGTGACAGTCAAACCATGAACTCTTACCACCCATTTGCAAAGTAAGCATTTTTGTGTATCCCATGCAACGTGAACATCCCATTTTTCCATGCGTACCCCAACCAGACAACATACGATATGCATGAAAGTCATTAATTATCCACATCAAAGCAACTCGCATATTAAAGTTTTGTTTACGAGACACATCATAAGTCCATTCTCCAATCCACAACCACTTCAAATCATCAATTAAAGGTTTCAAATAAACATCTATTCCCGCTTTTGAACTCGACGGTCCTGGAATGAGGCATGTCGAAAACATGTAAGGTTTTGTCATGCACATCTCAAGAGGGATATTGTACGGGGTAACAATAAATGGCCGACAAGAATATGCAATTGCTGACGATTGGATATAAGGAATAAAACCATCTGAGCATAATTTGAGCATGACATTTCTGGGTTCTATTTCAAAATCTGTATGTACTCTATCAAAGTGTTTTCATGCCTCGCCATCAGATGGATGTTGCATCATGTATGAACTATTGGAATTTATATGATGCCATGTCATTTGGATTGCACTATGTTTTGACGCAAACATTCTTTGCAATCTAGGAATTATTGGCAGATAGAATATAGACTTCACTGCAACTCATTTTTGCTTTTGATCAACGCCTTTATTGTGAACTAAATACCTCAGACTCTGACAAAACTTACATTCCTTCAACCCCTCATCATTTGTACCAAACTCGTTATCATAAAACAAGATACATCCTACAATGTAACAATCAATCTTTTTCACTTTTAGTCCCAACTTCGACACCATTCTCTTCGCATCATAATAACTTGTAGGCATGTTTTCTTTCACAGGAGTCACATCCAACATCATTTTTGCAAAGAATTCCAAACACTGATCAAGAACATTCTAATTTTACTTAGCAGCCAAGAGTCTCACACACATGAATAACATGGAGTCAAAAGACCCATCAAATAGTGGTATATTTATTTCTTTCAACAATTGATAAAGCTTTTACACTTACTCGTTTGGGAGCTCATCTGCATCAAAACATTGAGGTTCATCATAAGTAACATTCATCCCTAATGCATCACCAACCATATCATCTATGAGATTAAATTGTTCATGGTCTTACAAATGTGGTTGACAGCTTGATGCCTCTCTACCTATCTCAACTCCAACATGTGTTTGACTGCTTAAAGCCTCTCTATTCATCTTTGGCAGTATTTCTCCATTAGAATAACACACCCAATAAGTTGGCCTAAAACCATCTTTCTCCAAGTGGGTTTCACTTCATTTGGATCACTAATTATATTTCTGCAACCACATTTTAAACACGGGCATCTTACCTCTCCTTCGCTTCGACAACATTCTTGAGCAAACACATATGTAAGAAACGCAACAACTCCTTTAAAATGTGGCTTAAGCCCACGTCTTCCTGGATATGCTCTGTTTCGGCCTGGCCCAACGGCTAGGCTTGGCCCAATCCACTTATGCTCCCAGAATGGCCCAATTGCCTAAGTCCAACCAATTTGGGGGGAGCATTTACCTTTCTGCCCCTCCAACAGGGTAGGCTAACCAGTTTACCCTTGGTCACAGCGCTTCTCCTTGGCAGTTCTTGCCCGTCACGTACGGTTCCACCATCCATAAATAGCCAAGACATCTATGCCCATAATTGCACCCCTGCTTGTAGCAACGGCTAGTTATGGGCACCTCTTCCCGTTCTAACGGCTAGTTCTGACAGTTATCTATTCTTCGGGAAACGATTATCTCGCCTCGAAAATAGGGACCAATGGTTGAGCGTTATGGGCGCTATAAAAACCCTCTCACTTGAGAGAGTCAAATATCCAATATTCACCCTGATATACTCATATTATGTACTTGCTCTCTCTCTTGTCCGATTCTTACTTTAGCATCAAAGTGCCTTGCAGGTACACACCTTCCTCCTTTTTCACACCTAGCATCACAGACGTTTGTCTCTGGCCCACTCTAGGTCCTGATCAGCCGTCAAGATTAGTGGCTCCGTCTGTGGGAAACTTGTTATCCCTGTATTTTCTCCTTTCGTAGACACGAGACCAAAACAGTTCTTCAAAATCCCAATCATGGCCTGCCGTGACAACACTCTTGATGCTCGCAACTTTGCTTTCCTCCCTGTCAGCAAGACTGATGCTGATGGAGCAACCACCTCTCATGGCGGCGACGTCCTCCGACAAAGGAACGGAGCCACGACATATCCATCCCCTGTTTGCACCGATCGCAATGAGTTCTCACTCATCCCGGAGCACATGCCGATTCCGGTTCCGCCTAGCGCCGACCCGGACATGGCGACCCTCCTCGAGGTTCTCAACAAGACCAACCTCCTAATCCTCAATCAGAGTGCGAGGATTGGAGCCTTAGAAGAATCCATTCTTCCAAGATCCCCTTCATCGAGGAAAGAACGTCAACGACCACAAAGTTCTTCTCCCTGGCGCAAAAGAAACCGCCAGATACCTCAAGAGCCCGAAACCCAAGCCGTTGGAAAGAACAATCACATCTCTCCTAGGAACAAGCATTCCTCGTAACACAAGAGGACTCAAAGAGATCACCGGGCAGATTCCCTGCGTTCACCTCCGCCCAGGTCTAAGGGTCGGGCACGAACCCCATCTCCCCATCGAGACTTCCATCCTACATACAGACGGGACATCCGCTTCCCGTCTTGGACCAGCAGCAGCAATAATGACGAGAATCGCGGCCCATTGTCTCAGGAGATTATGGTCATGCACCTGCCGAAGGGACTAGAGAAACCCCCTTCTCTAGGCATATGCGACGGTACAACGGACCCCGACGAGCACATCAAAAATATAGATACGCTACTCGATGGCCGCGACCTCTGAGGCACATCAAATGCAGGTTATTCCCGGCTACACTTAGAAATAAGGCGATGACCTGGTACAAAAGACTCCCTAACGATTTCATCACCTCATGGAGGCAACTAGGGATAATGTTATTTAGACACTTCATGGCCTCTCACCGACACCGAAGACCGAAGCCTCCCTTGAGGCCATCATTCAAGGAATGGACGAACCCCCGTGAGCCTAAATCGAGAGGTTCAATAAGGAGGTTGTCAAGGTCTCTACGACCGATGACATGAAAAAGTTTCTGCTCGAGCGCGGGCTCCGTCCCCACACTGAATTTGCTAAAGTTGTTGGCATCCAGCCCCCAACAACACTGGACGCTTTCCTCCTCAAGGCACAAGCGTTCATTCAGTACGAAGAGAAGAAGGTCGCCAGTTCTGCTCGAGATTCGAGGCACTAGGAGAATTCCCGAACCTCTAG